CGTATGAGAAAAAAACGGATAACACCGTTTTATAGCTTTAGGCATTTAAAAGGTCACAAATGTAATTTGAAAAAAAAAAAGATATCCCACTAACTGATTTGAACGGTGCTATACTTCCCACTAAACAACTAACAATCCAAATGTATGCAAATTATATAATGTAAGTGGCAGACAAGGTAACCCCATGATAATATGATATGATTGAAGTTAATCATGAATTGAAAAGTAATTTACCTTTTTGTAATTAATAATTTCTATGAATTAGTCGGTTCTTAATAAACCTCTATTTTCGAAACTTAGCTCCTATTATCGAATGAAAAAGTTAATATTTTAACACAAGTAGAAATTTAATATATGTGAGCAGTGCATATTAAGATTAGAGAATATGCATTATACAACACTTTATATTAAAATTACGAGATGTGCATCATATATTCGTAATGTGTGCATCAATTATTTTAGAAACTCATATTGATAAAATATGTCGATGTTGTGTTTTATAAGTTCATCATTGCATTTTTAGTAAGATGACAAGTGCATATGAGAAGTAAACATACGTGCGAACTGCATATTAAGGTTGTGAGATGTGCATTGTATAAGTATAACGTGTGCATATGATAATATTTTACTTAAAGTGCATATTAAGGTTATGTGATATGCATATTAAGGATGGTGAGCTATTGATTGCATCTTATCGTTATGACAGGTGCATTTTTAGTTCACGTGTTGCATTTTATTATTATGACATGTGCGTTTTGGAAGTTCGTATATTGCACTTTAGTAAGATGCATAATTTATATTAACTTTTAACATATTAAATTTGTAAGAAGTGATGAACAATGTAAAAGTGTCTGCATATTAAAGTTACAGAACGTGCATAGTAAGATTAATGGATGTGCATATTATGGCTACGAGATATGCATTATATATTTATAATATCTTCATAACTTTTATTAGAACTATAAAGTGATAAACATGTCAACGCATCATTATAGTAGTCCATATCTTGCATTTTATCATTATAACACGGGGATTTTAGAAGTTTGTGTATTGCACTCAATTAGAAAGTTATGTACACTTTAAAAGTTCAAACTGCATCTTAACGCTATGACATTTGCATTATTTTAGGAGCTCATATGTTGCAATTTAATATCATTATGACTTATGTATTTTAGAAGTTATATATTGAATTTGGTCAGATGAGCTCCCATTTTCACTTTAGAAGTTACTGCATCTTATCACTATGACATCTGCATTCTATAGTCAATTGACATGCATACTAAATTCATGATGTTACATAATGCATAATACATGATCAACGTAAGAACACCATACCTATTTCAGGTAGATTAATCTAGTAGCACTTAAACATTTTTTTATTAGTATAAATATGAATTTGATGAATTTCATGAAGGCAAAAATCAAAACGTTAAAATATGATTCATCTCATAAAAAACAAAAAATAGAGATTTTCTAAAGTTCAAAATTCATGGGGACGAAGGAGTAAGAGATGGAGATAAATTTAAAAAAAAAAAAAAAGAATTCACGAAACTAGGGTATAATAACGGAATCCATGGCCTCCCCTGTTAATGGTGATGAAGAAATTATGCCGAAAGTAGATTTGTACGATGAAGAAACAACATTCTGAGATGAAAATGAACCATTGTTCTAAAAATCGGCCTAGGTGGACCGATTAATCGGCCTAGGCGGCCTAGTCGGCCCTAACCGTAGAGGCCGAATCGGCCTAGTCGGCCCAAAAATCGGCCTAGTCGACCAAAAAATCGGCCTAGTCGGCCGCCTAGGCGCTAGGCGCCCCTCAACCGCCCGACTAGCGCCTAGCGAGTTTTAGAACAATGGAATGAACTAAAGCTTCAATACTGAAGAAAGAAAAAAAGAAAATAATAATGATGAAGCAGTTACGTGGAAAGAGAACGTGTTTTTGTTTTCAAAATTAAAACAAAACCAAAAAGACATAAGGAACCTTTAGTTGATTAAGTTAACCTTCGGCATCTGAAACTGAACGCGCGTAAAGATTAAATGAGATGGATGGCTAAGATTAGGTTTGTAGGTTAGCATATTAAGATGGGTTTGCATTTGATCTCTACTATATATATATATATATATATATATATATATATATATATATATATATATATATATATATATATATATATATATATATATATATGTTCATGTGAGAACTTAATCTTAGGAGAGCAAAAAAGAATAGATCTTAGCCATTAGATTGATCAAAGAATTAGAAGAATCACGTAAAGGATAATTGGACAAACTTGAGAATTCACCTTATTTCATTTTGTTCGTTCATCACCATCCGAATTGTTAGCCCCCTATTTTTTAGGTGCATTAATTACACTTTCTAATTGCTTACAGATTAAAGTCGTATTTACTTTTTTTTTTGTGTTCTTCAATTCTATATGTATTAATTCTTTTTGCTATCACAATCACCTTTTCAAGATATTATTGAATATATTTATTTTATTTTCTATTACGTACTACTTCATTCCATTTAACCTATTTATGCACTTTTATAATTTCAATAGTGCATTTTTTATACTTCTAATTTTACATTTTTTATTTTATACATATTATATTAAATACTCGTGACTATGTCAAAATTTAAATTGTTTTAATTGTGTCCTTTGGACATATGATTTTCACATTATGATATTGTGTATCGACTAAAATATGACTAGTTTATACATATCTAGAAATTGTATTGAACAATGTTTGTGCATTTTTATCCCTCGAATTGTGCATTCTTCACATGTGAAAGAATGATGCATGTATTAGTAAATATAGTGCACCAATATTCTATTAATACTGCACATTCGGTGTGTGATCCTTCGAATTGTGCATTTTGTACATATGGAAAAATTGAACACAAATGTATGAGCTTAGTTGTGAAATTACAACTTCAATAAAAAAGTAAGTTAAAGTGCATGTTAATGGGATGAAATGTGTAATATAATTTTAAAAAGTGCATGTTAATATTTTTGATGCACTTACGCTCATACACATTGCACTTTATCGAATTATTCATGGGGTGTGCATTATTAATTCTTGAAAGTGCATTATGATAAGCCAAAGGTGCATTTCTACACTTAAAATAAAAGTACACATGTAGTTGAACAAAAAAAATTATTTTTGCTTCTATAACTTATAATGTAAGTTAAAAGTGAACAATCATAACATAAAAGTGCATCACGAATTTAGTAAAATACATACATAAAAGTGGTCATTGCTATTGATAGAGCACATTAAAAATATATACCATTTAATTTCTTGAAACGAATAAATAAACTATCAAATGTGCAAATCTCTACTTTAAAGTGCATATAAAACATAAATAATAAAATTTATATATATAATATTTGGACCTAATTAATGTGATAATAATAAAATGGAATGATAAAAATGGGATAACTATTGCACTTTGAATAGTGACCGCATGCACACTAAAATTTTGGTTGTTGTACACGTCACCTTGGTTATTTAATTGTTGGCTCATACTAAAATATTAGTACACATTTACTCAATTAGTTGGACACTCCTATTTAAATGGGGTCAATGGTAGTGATGTGCAAAATTTTAGGGATTTAACTTGATATTATGATCTCAATATTAATTGAGATGGTTGCACGCCACTACTTTTTCCCTCTATGCCCTTGCTTTCATTAAATTTTGTCGTTGCTTTTAATTAGTTATAAGAATTGTACAAAATTACTCAATTTGCCATTGTTATTTTTGCATCATAGGAGCCATTGGATCAAGATTATTAATGATCAAGATCTGTTCTTTTTAACTCTTCTAAGAGGGTGTTCTCACAGGAACTAACCCCTATATATATATAAAATGAATATGTATCTAAATAATTTCATATCTTTTTTAATTACTTATTCCTTACATAGATTAATCTTTTACTACGAGTATCTTACAATATCAAACTTCTAAAACTATTCGGCATTTGTCCCAAAATGAATATTCGGGATCCTAACTAAATAGAGATTATTCTTGATCCCGATAATCTAAATCACAACAATATTACAAATTTTGCAGTTCTGATGAACCCTTTAAAAATCATGATCGAGACTAAGATTTTTTTCTTTAGTAAATAATCATAATATGTATTTATACATTATATTCATTGGTCACAAAGTTTCTGAATGAGTCTACTTAGTTTTGAATTTTATATAATATACGTTACACATCCTTCTTTTAGTGATTTTTATATAATGTTTGAAGTAAGTTTCACTAAGCCTTAATAGCTTTATTCAAAAATTATACGATTATTTAATTGAAGTTACAAATAAAAATTATTCTAAAAGTATGTACTAGTGTGAATTTGTGATGATAATTATAACAATAAATTTTATAAGTAGATGATGATAAATATGGTATAACAATGAACAAAGAATAATCTTGAAACCATTAAATATCAAAGTTAGTGTTTAACTAAAGAAATTACATAATTTTATGTTTGATACTTCATTGTCGGGATTTAGCGGGATTAAGCGGGATTCCCGATCGGGATCCCGACTTAATCGGGATTTTAATGTCGGGATCCCGACTTAATCGGGACGGAATACGGGATCCTCTTGTAGTTTGACTCGGGATCGGGACGGGATCGGGACGGGATCGGGATTTGGGCAAACGGGATCGGGATCATCCCGATCCCACCCCTACTCCAAATTATGGAGCCAAATTTTCCTTCCACAATTTTCCCATCATGAGTCCAGGAAAGTGGAAAAGATAGAAAAGTCGGTGATGTGAGGCGCTGATAAAACAAATAAAGATGGGTAAAATGGGGTGAAGCGCCAAAAATAAAAACAACAATAAATGCATAAAATAAACCGGATAACTTCTCTCCCTTCAAACCTAAAATTTGGTCAAGCCCAATTCCAAAGACCACAGAATTGGAACGGATGGAAACATGACAAGGAAGAAATGTCTCATTTTAGTTTGTAGAGTTAAATATGACAGGAGGAAAGGTCTCATTTAACAAAGGGAAATCCACCATTTAAAACATTTTTTGAGTAGTTACCGAAAGGTTTCTGAAACATTCCCTAAATGTGGGAACATTCCGAGAATTCCTGCGTGTAAAGTGCATATAATGCAGATTGAGATAGCAAAGTTTGGTTTGGTTTAGATCAACAGGGAAAACTTCCAGTAAAATAAATGTGATTCAAGGTACTTCGCAAACCATACTTATTCACAGCTACATTAGCTGCTCTGAATCCTTCTCCATATGCGGGCGAAGTGTCGTGAGCTATCTGATGCATAAAGAACTCTCCCAGTTTGTTCTCATTCCCAGACTTTTTACCTTTCTTCGAAGATGACGAAGACGATGATGGAGCCCACATTGATGAGGATGGGGCTGCTGATGTTGATGACATGTTTCTGAGCCCAGGCATCACCTCTGACTCGAGCCACATGTGAGACAGCACTTGGCATATTCCTTCCTCCACTTCAGTCTTCAGATTGCGGAAACCTGCAGATTTCAAAAGGAGTATAATGTCTAACCTGTCACTATCACACACTTCGGGGTTTGGCATATTTATTTGATGTTTGGTTTGCTTTATCGGAGATTCCATTAATCACATAGGCCTTTTGTCCCAGATACAATTGCTAATGAGTTATTTAGCATCTAATAACAGGAATGTTGTTATTAGTATTAAGATATGGAGTAGCCGAGTGGTATTTAATAATTACTACGTATATCATTACCAAACAATGCTACGGAGTACTATTTTATTAGTATTAAATAATAATATTGATTTAGTACACCTACATCTCACATTAACGTTCTCGGTTAAGTTTGCAATGTGAATTCTCTCTTGATAATATTTAAATCAGTATTAATTTGAATATGATGGAATAAAGCAAAATGACTCACTAAACTGTTTGCGCTTCTTTGTTATGAAGCAGCGGTCAGTTCATGCATTTCTCGACGTGATTTTCACCATGAGTCATTCGGGAACAATCTATTTGTGCTTTAGTACAAAGGTAAGATTGCGTACATGCGACCCCTTATCCCACCGTAGGTGAGAGCCTTTGTGGCACTGGGGTAATGATGATGAATGAATGAGTATTGATCATTAAATTTTTTGCATTTGAAAACTAGACTAAAAGTTCGATTGGAATCGTAAAATGTGATTTTGAATACAATAAAAAATTTGTTACATGAGCCAAGATAAAAAGAATGTTAAGTTGACTAACGCATGAATAGTGTACTAAACATTATTTAGGGAGATAGGAAGTCGAGAACTAGATAAGAATATGACTTTCTCTATTTTCATTTGTTCTCTTCCAAATTTGTTTCAGCCATTACACACTTTTTGGAATATTGGTCACTCCAAGTGGAAAGAGCGAAAACAGATTTAAAAGTACGAAAGTAAATGGTAAAAATTTACAACCACTTGGACTGAAATTTTCTGGTCTGATTTGGTATATGCCTGGTCTATGTCGAAGTTTGGTTTGGTTTGTTTAAGTTTGGTCAGATTCGTTCAAAACTAGTCCAAGTAAAAACATCCTAAGTGTATTAGATAAGATAACCTCCAACCAAACACATTCATTTTACATTCCGATTATTTTAAGCAAATGCATCTCCTCCAATCTAACATTCACAAATAATGTGACATCCCAAACAACCTCTTAGTGAGATTTTGTACCTTTAAGACGTAACCATGCATGCATTAATTCATGTGCTAGTATGGCTCCGGTGAGTAATCTGCATCATGAAAGAAGAGAGGGATATCACATTGAAAGTATCCATTCTATTCTATGTTAGAAGTGGAAACCAGTACAAGAATTACCTCGGGAGACCATATAAAACTAATATAGCTGTAACCTCACTTTTTCGGATCAGTCTCTGTGGCTGTTTTCTCACTCCTACCATGCCACGACCAACCATTCTTGACCCTTTTTGTACCTACATGATAATAATAAAAATCACTCAGCCGAGATTTAAAAAAAATCGTAAAAATAGATGGGTAAAGTTTTTTTTAGAATCATACACTGGTAACAGTTTGCTCCTCGGATAGGCATAGACCCCTGGTTTCAGGAAACAGATGGAACCCCTATATTTATATATATTTCTTCCCCCAAGTTACAATTTATTTCCACAAAAAAAACACCAAGAAACAAAAAGAAGAAGAAGCAGGTGTGTATACCTGTTTCTCCCCTTCTATAGCTTCATTAAGGGCTTGTCTTTCAACAAGAAGCATAGGGACTTGCTGATCAATCTTCATGTTCATGCCTTCGTAATAATCTCTAATGGCATGGTACAATGGTTGGCAGTCCCCAGTATCCATGATGGCAGATTCCATACACTCCAAACATAACCTTCGTCCATCTTCAAGCGATATATATTTTGCATCCCGCGACTTCATGAAAAATAAAAGCAGTACAAACAATATTGGCTTTTTTAAAGAAGGCTTTTTCAAATAAGTTTAATGGAGTAGCTCTTCAAGTAAGTTAACACATTTATGAATTTGCTTACATTTTAGCCTCACTTTTTATTTTAAAAAGTACTCAAATCATTCTTTAAGTCATTTTTATATTTCTGATTTTCTAGTCTAGCTTATCACCAAAGTTTTACCAAACAGTATATGAATCAGCTAACTTATCAGGTATAAGTTATATTAACCTCCGTTCTTTTTATAGTTGCAGCCGTTTGACTTTCACGAATGTCACTTTGACCATTGATGCAGTTCATTATATACGAAGTTTTATTAGAACTAGTATTGTTTGAGATATATAAAATGAATTGTTTGATGCAATAGTACAAAAAAATGGTCAGAGCAAGGTACATGAATAGTGAAATACTGTAAAAATGCAATAAAAAGAGAATATAGAAAGAAAGTATTAGTTGTAAGCAAGATAGTCACTTATCAGCTAATGTATGAACTTGTTCTACAAAAAATAGACTTAAGGTGCGTCCTACCTCTAGGCGTTCACAGCTGCAGCATCGTGCAGTGGCATCATGCTCATGTGAAGGGCAGTACTTCTGAGACCAAAACGGGTGGCACCTATACTCTATCAAGCCAGCACCATTTGTGGGGATCTGAGAACATTAATGCAGATCATAATTCCAAAATCAAGCAATTTAATTAGCTCACTTAGGAGAAAAGATGGTTTAAATGAAAGATGATATTATAGATTGTAATATATTTTTAGTTTTTCCATCATTTCCAATGGAGCCAAAGACTCACTATTTTTTGGCTTGGGAATATGATGGAATAAAGCAAAATAGCTCATTAAACTGTCCGCGTTTCTTTTTATGAAGCAATAGTCAGTCCATTCAATTTTTGACGCGATTTTCATCATGGGTCATGGATATAGTCTCTATGTGTTTTAGTACAGGGGTAAGGCTACGTACATCCATCCCCTCCTTACCCCACCGTAGGCGGAGCCTTTGCGGCACTGGGGTAATGTTGTTGTTATTGTAATATATTTTTAGTAGAAAGGGCTGGGTTATAAGGCTATGCCTTCAACTACACAATTAGTTGGATTCAATCTTTGAAAGCCTCAGATTTACACATACTATGCATTATAGCCCAACTTTGGACTAAAAACACAGAAGTGTAATATACTTACAAATCGATGGCAGACATCACATTTAGGATGTGTGAGTTCTTTGAAGCACAACTTATGATATGTCTTCTTCTCTGACAGAGAAAACTTGAATCAACAAAGGAAATCAATAGGTGAGAAAAGGATCTAGAGACATCAAAATAACTTATTTTTACAAAAGTAATTGTCTTTTGCACCACAACAAAGAAAATGAAAACAGAATACCTCGAGTTCTGTGATTGGATAACCACATGCATGACAACGAAAGCATTCAGGATGAAAGAAAGTCCCAATGCATGCCAAGTAATTTCCATGGCCAATTTCCTGGCGACAGCCACCACATACTCTGGAGGAACAGAAAGAATCATCTCTAAAATGACTTATTAGAGAAAAAATGCCTAAGAAGCATCATATGAACTTTTGTGTCAAAATTACCTAATGCTCCTTGGATGATAGGCTTTCGGGGCAGCGTATGGAGGGGCATACGGGGGGCATGATGAAGAATTAAGGCCATCATGAAGAGACCTTATAAGGTCATCCTTCTCTTTCCATTTGTATCCTGACAAACATGCAAATCAAAACTCTTCAAGAGAACTACATAGGATAAAGTGGTATGTATGTTAACCGAAAAGAAAAATGACAGAAACATGTACCATTTGGTCTTTTCAAATCTTGGGGTAGAGGCCGTGCAACAGCACGGTCTAATTCCTCTTTATCGGTTCTACAGTGATCATCCTATAAGATAAAAATAAAGAAAAATAACTTTTAACCACTATCCACCGAGCCTTAGTGTCTGTTTGGAAAAAGAGGTAATTTGAGTTTGCACCCTATTTTATTGTCTAAATTGGATTTTGCATCCCGTTTTTTAAATCTTTATTTTTGCACCCCCAACCTCGTCTGAAAAGACAAAAGTGCCCCTCCATTAAAAATTATATTGGCCTTCAACATATTCCTCATCGAGGGGCATTTTTTTCTTTTCACAAGGGGTTGGGGTGCAAAAACAAAGTTTTTTAAAAACAGGGTGCAAAGTCCAATTTAGACAATAAAATGGGGTGCAAACTCAAATTACCCCATTAGAAGAATTATATGGACTTTAGCCTGGTTATCATGAGATTAAGCAGAACACAGAGTTAAAAGTATACTTTAACTTCTAGCAAAATCAGGAGATTCAGCCATTACATCATATTAAATTACAGCCAAATATCAGTTAAGAAACGAGCACTTAATATTGCAGATATAACTAAAGATTGGCATGCCCTCCACCTCGTCCTAAGAGAGAAAAAGCAAGTCAAAAATGACAAGAATGTGACTTCTTAACTCGAAAAATCTACCTAACAGAATTCTATGATAACATACTCAAAACTGAAAGAGAAGAACAGGATTTTAAAAGGCTAAAAAAAAGAGAGCATAGCAAATACCAATGATCTAACAGGAGCGCGCAAAACAGAACTTTCATCTCCTGTACGCTGAGGTGGCATCCGAGCTGGAAGTACCCCGCCACTACTTGAACTACCCTTGAATATCTTACTCATCCATCTCATAAAGCTTGATTTTTTCTCTGAGTATGAAGAAACTACATGCCCTGCTTAAAACCCCCAAATAAAAATCCAATCTTTACACATTCAAGCCCCAAAATGAACAAATGTACGTGCCCCAAAAAGATGTAACCTTTAATAGGACAATTACCATAAATGCAAGGCTGAGACAGGTGGTTGACAGTAGTTGAAGAAGACATTGCTAAATGCTATGGAGGAATAGAAGAAAAAGAAGAAGAAAATGGCGGCCAAGAATGAAAAGAAGTAACGGACGGAAGGTGAGAAAGAGTAGGGATAAAAGGAAACGGAGAAAGAGTGGGGGAGATGAAGAAGGGCATCATTAATAAGCTTTTTGAGGTAGAAAGAGAATCTGTGGGGAAGAAAGAGATTCTTGGCTTGTGGGGAGGAAGATGAATTGGGGAATCTGGTGAGGAGTAAAAAGGCGAGGCTGCAGAGTGGGTTTTGGACGGCGTAGGATTGGCTTTGATCGGAGAAACTGAAGAATCAAGAATTTCTTTCTTCACACCTACTAACTATTCTATTGTTCGAAAGTTGCCGGGAGAACAGCAAATCGAATTCTTCCATGTGACCCCTTCATCTCCTTTATTTTACAGCACTCGATCCGCTTCTCTCTTTCCGTTTTCCCCCATTGACAATTTTCACCTTTATTTAGACTTGCATTCTAAATCTGATCATATTCCGCCATTGACTTCGATTTTGTCTCTAATTTTTTTATTAATTAGGTATAGTTATCAGAACCATCTTCAAACAAATCTTCAGAAACAAGCAATGGCACAACTAGACTTCCTTTTCTCGTAATGAAGATTCTACATAAAGTAACCACTCTCAAGCAACAATAACTTTTCCATGTCGTCTTGGTAAGATGACGGGTCATGTTGCGTAGGCATATGTCACGCAGGCCGTATGAGGAAGCCTATACCATACAGCCGGCTGTACGGCTGGGCACCGTACAGCCGGTGGCATTTTTGTAATTTTGATGAAGTTCATGATTTGTCATAAATGAGCATTGATGTAATTTTATTGAGCATCAAGTCTGTTCTTCTGAGTATTAAGAGCTAACTATGAGCACCCGTGGTCTCTGCTTCATACCTTCTAATTCAGTTTCTTTTTATTAATTTCCGTTTTTAAAAAATTCTTAAATTGTGTTTGTAATTAATTTCAATATGTCAATCTATTGTAGTATGATATGTTTGATATGTGCATCATTTTCAAATGAGCATAAACCAGTACCAAATGAGCATACCTAATTTACAAAATTAGTATAAAAAAAATCAAAACTTCATTTGTGTATGCTCATTGATTTTGGGCGTTATATTTAATATATGCATCATTTTAAAATGAGTATAAAGCAATACCAAATGAGCATACATAATTTACAAAATGAGTATCAAAAAATTTAAAAGCTCATTTGTGTATGCTCATTAATTTTGGGCGTTATATTTGATATGTGCATCATTTTAAAATGAGCATAAAAGCAGTACCAAATGAACATACATAATTTACAAAATGAGTATCAAAAAATTCAAAATCTCATTTTGTGTATGCTCATTGATTTTGGCGTTATACTCATTTAAGTTTAACATAAAACTCATTTTTAATGTGTTTAATATTTAGTTGTGTATGTTCATTTCTTTGAGGCGTATACTCATCTGAGTTTAATATAAAACTCATTTTTAATGTGTCTAATATTCAGTTGTGTATGTTCATTTTTTTAATGTGTATACTCATTTGAGTTTTTTATAAAACTCATTTAAGATCAATAGTAGTAGGGACTTCCTTTTTCTGCAGTAGGATCCCTTTGTCTTCCAAAATCACAATCTCAATCTCAATCACCAAAATTGAATAAGAAAAAGAGAAAAAAGAAAAGAGTGAAAAAAAAGACAGAGGAAATCTGTTGTGCCCATTCTAGGAGATCAGCTGTGAGAGGCAACTACCTAGGAGAGAAAGAGACAAGTGGTGCGAAGCAGATGGAAGAATCAGACGACATCTGAGACTGGTGCGAAGCTGGGTGCGAAGTCGAGGAAGAAGGCCGAGCGAGATCGATCGAGGAAGAAGGCTGAGCGAGATCGATCGAAGGCCAGAGCAAGATCGAGGAAGAAGCCCAGAGCCAAAAAGGGCCAGCTGTACCGTGCGCACGGTACAGCCGGCTGTACCATGTAATTTACGGGCCGTATGAAGTAGATTAGAGAACGTTTGTAAAGAAACAATCAAATGGCCTAGACTTGTTTGCCTAAATAACAGTAGATTAGAGAACGTTTGCCTAGACTTCCATTTTATTTTTCCAAATCAAATGGCCTGTATTGATATCATTACTTTCGATCATTACACCAAATGAAGAAAAACCATATGACACTAATTCATCTCCATTAAGTACGATTAGAACTGTGACCGTATGTTCTACGATTAGACCTAGAAACAATCATACAACATGAATCGCTAATCATGTTCGGTTTGACACAATTATCACTGATTCTACAGATTCGTATACTCCTAACGAAAAAATAAGCTAAATTTCCAATCATTCTGGCAAACCTAGCAACATAAACTTTAACGAGAAACCAAACAACAGAATAAAACGCATAATTATAGTAAGCTAAGAGAAAAGATAAATTATGGTAGGAGCTCCACACAGTCTCGTTGTAGTAGCATCCAACGTCTTCTTCCAAACCTTAACCACTCGTTCACTCCCAAACGGCAATTCAAGGGGGACGCAAATCACCAACCATAAGACCTAGAAAAAGCTAAAAGCCATATATGATGATCCCCTTTGTGATGCTTCCCGTGCCAGCCAAACGTCTTCTTTTTGTAGATCATTTTGATAAGGCTATGAATATTGAGGTCGGCAAGTGGTATGCAACTTGCAAACATTGTCCACAAGTATTGTGCATGGGATGTCGGGGAGGCTACGACACCTTCCAAAGACACTTGAACTCGAGACACCCCACGGAAGCAGCAAAATTGAAGGGCAAGAGCGTGCATACACAAATATCGAGCTTTGCAAATGATCAACCCTTTGGAAATTTCGTTTATAATGATGAGCAACATTTGAAAGCAATGTCTGGATTAATATGCATGTGAAGAAATTTGTCTTTTATTTTTTCTGAGGTTTTGTTTTACGTGTATGGTCAAGGTTCTTTAAATCCACAATTTCAATATTGTAGCCGCAAAACAATTAAAAACAAGCTATTAAACAATATAGTTTGAAAAGGGAAAGAATAATTATTATTTTTTGCAAATCTTAATGGGTGTGTGACTGTTTGAAGTGCTAAATGGGAAGATACATATCATCACTTGTATTATATAGGTGTGACTGTACATTAGATTGATGATGATTGACAAATGCATGAACGAGTTATCGCTTTTCGAGATTTTAATGAAAGATACATCGATGATAATATCATGGAACGTGTTTGCTATATGTTTTGATAATGCTAGTAATAATATTGTTGGTGTACATAGAATGCGTGAATTATGTGATCCTATTTTGATGGGTAAATCTTTCCGTCAACGTTGTGCGTGATAGAGAAAGTTAAGGGGCTATTAAAATCATTTGGGGGTAATACTCAACTTAAAATGCAATGATGTGCTTATTGAAATGTGTTAAGTATTGTCATATCCTTAAAGATCTATCTGTTCGTTGGAATGATACTTATAATTTAATTGTTGTGCTGCTTGGATTCCAGGACCAATTGTATGCTTTTATGAAAGAAACTTGTAATTATATTATAGAACCGGTTGACATCAACACCATGGAGAAAATTTGCAACGTTTTAGTTTATTTTCATAGCGCTACTCAATCTTTTTCTCATGTTTATTCACCTACTAGTAACCTATTTTTCACAAGCTACTTATGTTTCATTATTTTTGTGATTTCATGAAGGAAAAGTTTTTAAACTATTATTTATATATTCTGCCTATATGTGTGTCTTGATCCTTGTTTCAAACTTGCTACTTATCGAACATTAGAGTACTATTATACTACTTTCTATGTTTACTTTTCCCTATGTACGACGACACCCTATAAGACCCTCAAGCCCAATTCAATGAGAGTAGTGATTTATTTCATAATTTATTTAATGAATTTCATGCAAAATATGGTAACATGCTCCCTCGCTCAAACCGACGACTTCTTCATCTAAATGAAAAAATCTTTTTAAATCTGCAATATCTAATCTTTTGAAAAAATAAATCTACTTTTGCCGTTGCACAAGCTCAATTAATGAGCTTTATTTATATTTAATGTGTTGGGTTAAGGGCCCAAGCCGAGGTCCGGCCCATTAACCCCTTTTTTACCAGACGCACGTCCAAGCTATAACATAATGCTAGCCGCAGGCCCATGTTCCTTGGGGAGGGACGAGCGTCTGGGGGTTTAGGCTCGACGGCCCATCTCGACGAGCGTCTATGCAGGGACAAGAGACAGGACCACGGGCCATCAGGGATGACGACGAACGTCTCCAGAGCAAGCCTATGGTCATCGGAGACGAGCAGCCGGTACCTCTTGAGAGTCACTTGGAGCGATCCAGCTCGCTCCCCGGGCGGACGAACGTCCCCACTATTTAGGCGGGAAACCTAGATTCTGGCGGGAAGTGCATTTAATGCTGAAGATTTGGTAGTTGGGGCACCAGCGGTCCACAGGCTGCCACGTCAGTATAGCCACCTGCCCATTGGTGGGTATAAATAGAAGCATTTATTTCATTGTAAAGGGTTGGCAACTTTCTATTCTTAGCACCCTAGCTATAGCAGTCTGACTGGTAGCACTTCTACTGCCTTGTAAGACGAACGGCCGACGGAGCCTTAGCGGAAAGTATTGTATTAGGGAGTTATTAAGAGATAATAATACCTAGTCAATTACTTGCTATCTTACTGTTTCTTGATCCTTATTATCTGCTTGTTGGGCTAGTTTATTCACACACACTCCACTCGAAATCCTTGGGCTTACGTGTTGGACCCGAGGGTTGAAGGAATAAACCTCAACACTGGCGCCGTCTGTGGGAATCTGAACTAAAAGTTTCCAAAACTCTCCCAAACAGCTACTAAATCTACCCACAGCAAGCACGATGACAAGAAACAACCGCCAACGTGACCTCTCCGAGCAGCTGTCCCGTGGACGAAGCAACCGCGGGCAAACCACGGAACGTTCCGAGACGTTGGGAACAACTGGGGGTGAGGATGGCCTCACAAACCTCATCCCCCATGAGGCCAGACGCGACCCTCGACTCATGAGGGAGCTGGCGGAAACAATGCGCCGAATGGCGGACGAACAGGAGGCGAACGAAGAGGTGTACTCAGCTAACACCATCTGGACGCCCATATCACCCATCCACCGCATGCAGTCCCTGGATGAGACAGCGGAATCTGCCGGGCGTCGGACGCCCATCCACATGAGGTTGGGTCAAAATCCGTCCTCCCACGGAGCTGGGGGGCACACCGGCGCCAGCACCCCTCGATATGGTTGGCAGGACGATCATCGGGGGCGTACGCCGGACGTTCCCTCAGAACATCAGGGCACCACCATCACCCCCGCTGCCAGTAATATTGGACGACGTTTCCACAGGCATGGTGCCCACATCACCCGAAGGCAAACCGACGCGGTTGCCCCTCGAAGGAACGTTGCGCTCGAGGCCGCCCCTCCTGTGTTCCCCGGAAGGGCCGCACAGGAGGCCCGGCTAGAGGCAATGGAGCGGCGAATGGCCGAAATGGACAGACGGGCGGAGGCCACCCCGGCCACACCTCGTTTCTCCCTCACCTCACCTTTCACTCCGAGGGTCATGAATGCAGAGATCCCGCGGGACTGCAGGCCCCCCCAAGGGATAGTATACAATGGGACCGGAGATCCCAAGGCTCACCTGATCAGCTTCGAGGGGAACCTTTCCATGCTGGGAGCATCCGATGAGGCCATCTGCCGGCTCTTCTTCAGCACCCTGAGGGGCCCGACGCAGGAATGGTTCGGGCAGCTGAGGCCCGGATCCATTGACAACTACGAACAGTTGTCCCAGCAGTTCATGGCACAATTCGCTGCCAGCACCACCCCCAAGAAGAGCTTCACATCGCTCACCAGTGTGAAGCAGGGAAAAGACGAACCTCTGGCCCAATTTCTGGTCAGATGGAGAGACGAGGTGCTGCAGGTAGACGACCTGGACGAACGGCTGGGAGTGAACATGTTCACCAGCGCCTTGGCGACAGGGGACCTATACCGGGACCTTCGGAGGAACCCCAGCACCAGCTACACCGAGGTGCTGGCTCGGGCACAGAAGTATGCCTCCATTGAGGAGGAGATCAGATTAAGGGACGGCGCGCCTGCAGCCCCTTCCCGGAAATTAGCGGATAGGCTCGGCCCCGGAGGCGGGCCATCCCCCCCGAACAAAAAGAAGAAGACGGACGGCGGCATAGTTCCGTGGAAGGCTCATCCGGAGGCCAGCCGCATACGTCCGGAGGAGTACCACGTTCCTCTGGCTTACCCCGTCAGCCAGATTTTCGACGCCATCAAAGACAAGGGCATCCTAAGGGAGCCCCAAGACAAGAAGGCGCTTATGGGTCTTGATGAGACCGCATATTCCGAATACCACCAGAGGGTCGGCCACCTCACCGACAACTGCAAGCAGCTGAGAATGGCCATCGACGAGCTGATCCGGCAAGGCTACCTGGGCGAGTTCACCCAGCTATTGAAGAAGAATAGCCCGAGGCAGCCGAATCTGAGATCGCGGTCATGGCGCCGCGACGATCGGCGCGAGGCGGAACCGAAGGACGTAGACTATCGGAGTGCTGATAAACGTCCGGAGGGGTCCCTCGGCCCGAACGGCGGGAAGAAGAAGTTGGAGATCAAGGTGATCTTTGGGGGCGCTGAGACTGGGGACACGCCTGCGGAGCGGAAGAAGTTTGAAAGATCCCTATACGTGGGCTCCATATCAGCTCCCCCGCTAAAAGGAACAAGGTGGAGGCCATCACCTTTGGACCGGCCGACCTACAGATGTCACCGGCCCCTCACAGGGATGAGTTGGTGATCAGCATGGATGTCAACAATGCGATCGTCCGACGCGTCCTTGTCGATACTGGAAGCAGCGTGAACGTCCTCTACTGGGAGGCGTTCGAAGGAATGAAGTTGAGGAAGGATCAGCTGGGCCCCCCCACGCACCCCTCTTTCTGGCTTCACGGGGGATTGCATCGATGCGGAAGGCACCATCGGCCTCCCCGTGGAAATCGGGGATGGACCTCACACCACCCGCATCCGGATGACGTTCGTCGTGGTCCGCCTAAAATGTGCCCACAACGCAATTTTGGGCCGGCCCCGCCTGGAGGATCTTGAGGCCATATGCTCCGTGCGGCACTCATGCATCAAATTCCCCACTGAAACTGGAGTGGGGGTGGCCCGCACGGACCCGCACATGGCCAGGGCCTGCTACACCAAGGCCATGGAGAGGTTCAGAGAGCGGGAGGCCCGGGTCAACAGCATCACTGAGAAAGCCAGACAAGCCGACTTTGATGCTCGTCTGGAACCGGTTGCCCTGCTCGAAGAGGTGGAATTGGATGACCCTTCGGACAGGAGGGTGTCCATTGGCGCCGACCTTGAGCCTGAGATCAAGGAAGGGATCATAGCTGTCCTCTGGAGATTCAAGATCCTATTTGCCCGGGGGCCGGAGGACATGCCTGGCATAGACCCCAACCTCATATGCCACAAACTCGCCGTACGGCCGGATGCCAAACCTATCCAACAGAAGAAGAGATACATGGCAGCCGAGCGGCGAGATTTCATCAAGAAGGAGGCTGCTACGCTCCTCAGCATCAAGCACATCCGGCCGGTCATCCACGTGGAGTGGTTAGCTAACGTGGTGTTAGCCCCAAAAGGCGACACGTGGCGGATGTGCGTCGATTACTCGGACCTTAACAAAGCCTGTCCGATGGATCCATACCCGGTGCCGAGGATCGACCTGCTCGTGGACGAGACGGCGGGCTGCGAGCTACTCAGCTTCATGGACGCATTCAGAGGCTACCATCAGGTGTTCATGCACCCGGATGATGCAGAGAAAACGGCGTTCGTCACAGCGGACGGCGTGTACTGTTATGTGGTCATGCCGTTCGGCCTGAGGAACGCCATGGCTACTTTCCAGAGGATGATCGGGATGTTGTTCAAAGACGTACTAGGGAAAACCATGGAGGCTTACGTGGACGACATCCTGATCAAGAGCAAAAAGAAGGAGGACCACGTCCGGGATATGGAGAGGATCTTCACCATCATGGAGGGGGCTAGCATGAGGCTCAATCCGAAGAAGTGTGCTTTTGCTGTCAAGGGCGGCAAGTTCCTCGGCTACATGATGAGTGAACGGGGGATCGAGCCTAACCCAGAGAAGGTAAAGGCAATAGTTGACATGGAAGCCCCGAAGAATCTGAAGGACGTACAGCGCCTCACCGGGAGATTGGCGGCCCTGAGCCGATTCATGTCAAAACTAGCAGACAAGGCAATCCCTTTCTTTCAGATCATGAAGAAGGCGAATCCTTTTGAATGGACACCGGAATGCCAGGCTGCCTTCGAAGATTTCAAAGTGTACCTCTCCTCTCCGCTCGTCCTCACCAAAGCAGACCCAGGGGAGCAGCTGTACATGTATCTGGCGGTGGCGGACTTGGCTGTGAGTGCTGTGCTACTCAAGGAGGCAGAAGGCGTTCAGCGGCCAATCTATTTTGTGAGCAAGGCACTGAACGGCCCGGAGACCAGATACACACTGATGGAGAAGACGGTCCTCGCCTTGATAGCATCCATCAAACGCCTGGCACCGTACTTCCAGGCACACCCCGTGACTGTATACACAACACAACCTCTCGCCACGATCCTCCGGAACCCCATGGCCAGCGGGAGGATAACCAAATGGTCCCTGATGATCGGGCAGTACAACATAGAATTCAAGCCGAGGCCGACGATCAAGGGATAGGCGCTGGCAGACTTCATTGCCGAATGCACTGCGCGCACCGAGGTCGATCCCCAAGGCAACGATGATTTCAATAACTGGTGGGAGATGTACACCGATGGGGCCTCGAGCGCAAAAGGCTGTGGCGGAGGAGCGGTGATCATTTCACCGGAGGGTTTCAAGGCCTACTACTCCATGAAATTTGAATTCAAAGCCACCAACAATGAGGCTGAGTACGAGGCGCTGATCGCGGGATTGAAATGTGCGAAGGCACTCGGCGCAGCTCGTCTCAAGGTGAGAATGGACAATCAGCTGGTGGTAACCCAGATGAATGGGACGGCCGAGACCAGGGAAGAAAGAATGAAGATCTACAAGGAACTCGCGGGGGAACAAACCGCGCAGTTCGAACAGGTGATAATCGAGCAAGTATCGCGGGTGGAGAACGCCGAGGCTGACATATTATCCAAGCTAGGCAACCCCCCGACCGATGATCCCGCGACGAGCATCCCCCGGCACATCAGGGGCTTCGTCAGACAAGAGATACTCCCGGCGCCAGCGACGGACGTCATCCAGGTGGGAGCCATCTCCATCGCCGAACCCAATTGGTCGAAGGAGATCGCCGACTACCTCAGGGATGGGAAGCTCCCCGGACCTGAAGATGATGGCGGCTCCGGGAAGGCGGCTTGGGTAAAAAGGCGTGCCCCCAACTTCGAGCTCATTGATGGACAACTCTACAAGAAGACGTTCGGAGGGCCATACTTGAGATGCCTCCCGCCGAGCTTGGCAGCGGCCGTCATTGAAGAGATACATGAAGGCATCTGTTCCAGCCACCAGGGTCCTCGTACCTTGGCCCGGAAAATCATCTTGCAGGGGTATTACTGGCCGACCATCCAGCAGGATTGCTTCAATCACACTCGGAAATGCGCAGTGTGCTAGCAATATGCTCCTGTCCCCGGACGACCGGCAAGCTTCTACACGCCGATGACAGTTGCGCTACCTTTCGCCAGATGGGGCATAGACCTGTTGGGCCCTCTTCCGACAACGACCGGCGGAAGGAAGTTTGTCATTGTGGCGATCGACTACTTCACGAAGTGGGTAGAAGCCGAGCCGCTTGCCTCCATCACCGAGTATCAATGTCAGAGGTTCCTCTGGCAGAATGTCATATGCCGCTTCGGGATTCCTGAGCAGGTCGTCACTGACAACGGCCGGCAGTTCGTCGGCAGAGGATTCGAGGCATACCTGGCGAAGTGGGGCATCAGGCACTCTAAAGCCTCGGTGGCCTACCCGCAGGCCAACGGCCAGGTGGAGAACATGAACCGAACCATCATGGATGGGATAAAAAAGAAATTGGAGGATTACGCGTCCACCTGGCCGGAGCAGCTCAATTACGTACTCTGGACGTGTAGGACGACCCCAAGGACGGCAACCGGCGAGACACCCTTTGCCTTAGCATACGGATTCCAGGCCAAGGTGCCAACAGAGGTGCTAGTGCCCACACATCGCACGAAGCATTTCCAGCCGGAGGATAACGAGGCCAACCTACGAGCGGAGCTCCATTTCATCGAGGAACGAAGGGACCTAGCGGCTCGTCGCATGGAGGAATATCACTGAGCCACCCAAAGGTACTTCAACAAGGCGGTGAAGATCCGCGAAATTGAAGCTGGGGACCTCGTACTCAGAAAGAGAGAGAAGAGCAAGCCGCTCGAAGGTGGCAAGATGGCCAAAAATTGGGAAGGGCCGTACAGGGTCATGAGAAGATATAACCAGGGGACGTTCCTCCTCCATACCTTGGAGGGGAACCACGCTGGAATCTGGAACGTCGAACACTTGAAGAAATTCTATCAATAGTTAGAGATAGATCGCTGTTGTAATTTCTGGTCGAAGCACCATGTAATATTACTGATCGTCGCCTCTATATTAAGGATTACTTCCTGTCTTTTACTTCTACGGAGAGACTAAGGCCGAAGTGCCATTGAAATGATTTCCTCCTCCTCAAAAAAAAAAAAACGAGGAGAAGGGGAGATACGACTCCTATGAGAGAGGGAGTCTTGACGAGGTATGCCTGATCTTCCTTCACCACGTATGTCGAACGTCTCCCGACGCGGAGGTTAGTAGGAACGTGGGGGAGGCAGAACGTACCAAAGGGAACCTCGGCAAGATAAACCAGTTCCTCCCGATTCCCGTAGATCGACGAAAACCCTCTGCCAGAGCAGAAGGTTAGTAGGGCCACGAGCATGGGACGACGAAGCAGGGAACCCGCGATAGGGTAAACCAGTGACCTCCTTGTGATCGGTGAATACCGAACGTCTTCTTCGAAGTAAGAAGATTAGTAGGGTCCCGACAAGGACGAACGAAGACTAGTTCCTCCCCCTGATGAGCGGAAGACGAACGCCTTCTGCGAAGCCAGAAGACTAGTAGTTCGCAGCTGGGGACGAACGGAGATAGGGAATCCCGACGTGGATAAACCTGTTTTTTCTCAAAGTGGGGATGACGAACGTCTCCTGCGAAGCCAGGAGACAAGTAATCACGAAGCTTGGGAAGGACAAAGACTGATAAAAGACTCCAAAAAAAAAAAATGGAGCAAGGGATGCTAGACGAACATGGAGCAAACAATGATTTTTATTCTTCGGTACTAACGACCGGAAAGTACAATGTGTAAAGTACCATGTAAACAATGAAATAATTAGTACCAAGTACAAGACTATGAGCGAAAAGTCAATCCTGATCGACGTCCGGAATCGGAGCCTTGGGAAGAGTCTGCTTGGCTTTCTCTCCGGCCTCGGCTTCCTCCTGCTCCCTACGCTCCTTCAGCAGCTCGAGGGCCCCCGCATGAGCATCCGCCATCAGGACGTCAAAGCCAGCCGCCTCCGGATCGAAAGGAGCCCCGAAGTGACGCTCGAACGTCGGGAGGTTCTCCGCTACTAGCCCAACCATGCCCTTGCGATAGGTATCATCGGCGAGATCATCAAGGAAACGCCGTCCGGTGGGGGTGGCCTGGAGCAATTTGACCCCATCCAGATAGGCGTCCGGGCAGGTGGCTAAGAACTCGCCGACGAGCCTTGGGAGGAACTTCATAGCCATGGTATGAATGGCGCCGGTATAAGCCTTGGATTTCTGGAACGCTATGGAACCAGACTCCTTAATCTTGGCAACATCGGCCTCGTAGATAGGAACATGATTATCCACGCCCGTACGGCGGAGCTCCACCTTGGCCTGCTCTACGGCCCACATCCGGCTGCGGAGATCCACAAGCTCAGCCTCCTGTTTCTTGAGAAGCTCCTTCTGGGAAGCATTCTCCTGGACGAGTTTGTCATAGGCGTCGGCCTTCTCTTGAAGAGTTCCAGCCCTGCCTTTTGCATTCCTCAGAAGGGCGTCACATTCGGCCCGCACCCTGGCCATCTCCCTGCCCTGGTGCTCGAAAGCCATCCGAGCCCTGTGAAAGTAGAGCCCGGCCTTATCCAGGGTGCTCTGACCGCACTCCAAGAGATCTTCAGGGGCCTCCTGAGCAGCGAAGTCCTGCGGAACCTTGAGGTTCAGCCCACACCAGATGGAGGACGCTGTCTGGCCGAAGAGCATCATCGACTCTTTGCGGGGACCAACCCCGGAGAACTCAATCAGGCCAAGAGAAGACCCACTGGCTTCTGGGGGCGAGGTTGGATGAGCGTCGTCAGAGCCTTTGGGAGTTTGAGCATCATCATCCCGGAGACGGCGGACGTCAGAATTCCGCGGAGGAGAGGCACGGGGATTGATCCGGGAAGTGGGTTTCCGCTTGAGGGGACTCCCAGGCTCCCCATCAGAATCGTCGGCCACTATAATGGCCTTGGAGGCAGTACCCTCGACGCGCGGCCTCTTGGAAGCACCGGCCCCAGAAGATTCATCAGCCCGTGACCTGGTCACCCGTGTTTCGACCTTGGGGACGAGCGGCTTCTCGGCCTTGTCGTGGCCCTTATGTCCGCGACCAGTGGCAGCCGAAGTGTTGTTGATACGACCCATGATGATTGTAGACGGGAAAACTCCTGCACAAAAGGAACCAAGACGTTCAGAGTTATAACAACGAAGAGATGATAAAGCAAGGCAAGTACAAACGGACGCACCTAATCCAGTCCGGGCTTTAAAAGGCTCGGCCACCAGCAACCGGAGGTTCTGGATGCCAAGTCCAGATATGCGCTTGGCATACCCAAGCTCCTCGTCCGTCATAGGCGGCGGGATCGTCTTCACCGGGTAGGCATTCCACCGATCAGAGAATGGCATCGGGGAGCCTACCCCGGCCAGGAAGAAACGTTCTTCCCAGCCGTCCGGATTCCCGGCATTGTTTGAAAACAGGACCATGGACGGACGGGCGATCAGTGTCAGGTACCCCGTGCGTCCGAAGGGGGACAGCCGGAAGAAGTGGTTCAGCAGGTCCACGGTGGGGGTCACACCGACGTTATGGCACCTAATGATGAAGCCGGCGATGATCCTATATGCGGCAGGGACGAACTGCGCAGGCACTATCTCAAGGGCCCTGAAAAGCTCCAGGTGGAAGCTATGTAAGGGAAAGTTCAGCTCGGCTATCACCGAATCCAAGTGGACCACCACATAGCCGGGCAGATGGCGCATGGGGTTGCGCAGACGCCGATCGTCGTAGGTCCTTGGAGGATAGAACCACTGGCTGATCAGACGCTTGTCAGCGTTCGTCAGGCGTTGAACTTGACGCCGAACGCACGAGAAGCTGAGGCTATAACGGGGAGGCCGAGGCGGCATCCCCCGCTCATAATACTCTAAGTCATCGCCAGAAGAACAACCGTCGTCGAAACGAGTTTCAGAGGTCATGACAACGAACGGTACCTTGGAGGTTCGAGGTTCGGCACGGTTGAAAGAACTCTAGAGAGAGGAAGCAATTGTGCAGCGTAAGGAGAAGTATGAATGAATCACATGGGTTCTGGGTACTTATAGGCAGCACCGTGGGATCGCGCCAACCGAGGAAGGACACGTGGCGCCTAGATACCGGTACCTACCACAATATTTAAGGCGCCTTGATTTCGTCGCCGCGTAACCGCGACAAAGAAATCCGGATTGATGCCACGAACGTCTCCCCACGAAGCCTGGGTAGGGCGCGCGCAGCATGGATATTCATGCTACGCAACAGTAGACGAACGTCGTTACCAAATACTGGTTCTGGGAAGGACGTTCGTACCTCCACACTACTGGTTCTGGCAACCACCGACGAACGTCGTCTCGCGGGAAGCGAAAATGAATGCAGTCAGCGTCGGTGGTATGCTCGCATTGTGAGATGGACGTCGCTGTCAGAATAGTGTTGCCGGGCGACAAGCCAGCATCAACGCCGAGCGTCGTCACCAAAAGATGAACTCTAGCGGTACATTCGCACACGTGAATACGTACGGAGGTATGGCAGGGAGAAGCCGTTGCCCTAAACAAAATAAGGAACAGATATGAACGTCCTTGCAGACCTTAACCTTGCTACAAGTGTATCGAGGCACCGAGGGAGGTTCCACATAACAGGCGATAAGAGA